AGAAGATGCATTTTTATTTCTAGTATCGAAAATATTTAGCACAAATAAACCATGGTTACAATATCCATTGCCCACAAAAATATCATTTTTGGTCAATACGACCTTATTATTTTCAAATGAAACCTTCACTCCAACTTTTCCTAATAACCCCACAGAAACCAAATTAGTTTGGATATTAGGAACATGCAATACATCACTCAATGCTAGAGTTTTACCAGATGTGAGTTTGAGAAGAATATTTCCTTTCCCAAGAACGCGAGCTGTTCTTGAGTCACCAAGATAAATAAATTCTTCTCCTTCTTCAATTTGGGTATGTAAAACAAAAATTTATTTTTGTCCACACAAGTGTGCCTAGTAGCACCAGAGTCTATCACCCAGTCTCTCACACTGGCCACATTATTTATTTGGGAGATGACCGCAATAATTATATTATTCGCTTTAGTCAAATTTAATTTTGACTTAGCGAGATTGTCATTTATCCCAACTCTACTATTGCATTGAGGTACATTTTTCTTGAAGGTTTTAATATTAGCATTGGATATGTAACCATGTCTGTTCACATACCTGTGTTTGGACATTAGTGTCTGTGGATGCAATAACGTATTTGCAACACCATGGATATCTGGCAGGACAGCTGGAACAGTAGCAGTAGAGACAACACCAAAATTGGTAGCACCATAAAAAATTTCCGTAGTAGTAGTACTTGCCATAGTTTCTTAGGTTGCAGGGAAATGACACCGAAAATAACGATAATAATACTGTAATAAAATTATTTGTGAGCGGAAATACACCAACTGGCTTGAGTCGTGCTAGGCACTGTCCTAAGAAACTATTTCAGCAATGTGAAATGTTTTTCCAGGATTAAACAAGCCCATCTCTATTTAGATAGAGGATACAGGAATCAACAAAATTAAATAATAAATCCAGCAATTTGGAAGAGAAAGAGCAACTAATATCTTATGCCAATCAAAATATTTTAAAAGAAGAAATTAGAAAGAGAGGGATGTATAGGAGGGGAAGAAGATAGAAGAATTTCTTCTATGCTAATGATTAACTTTTCTTGGTGTTTGATGATTGAAGAATGATGGCCTAATCATGGCTATTTATAGGCCTAAGGAAAGCTTCTTATATTGCCAAATATTTCATTGCATGAAAGAGGATTGCCACTTGTTTATGGCTTAGCCATTTGGCTACATATCTTCATGCAAAGTGCCACATGGTGGGTATTCATAGCCACTTGGCTTAGTAGAGCCATTTGTCACACAATCTTCTAAACCAATGCCACATGTAAAAATCTTTTGACACATTACCAATAATTATCAACATTCACAACGTTCTTGATTCAAATGGAAGCATTTTTACTGTCTTTATAAAGCCTTGTAGCCACTGGAGTTGCACATCAACAGCTATTATGATCCATTACTACTTGATTTCTTGCCCTATTTCCAGTTCTTTAATTCCCTTCCTTTATTTTTGATATTTCTATCATATTTCGGTTAGTCTTTCTTCTATCTTTGGTGCCAAAATATTTCTGCAGATCGTTTTATGAATATGCCCAAAAGTAAGTTTAGCACAGTCAAATTCTAATTGGATTAAATTTAGTAGGTTAATAATAGATTGTGATGCCGTGTGCACTAGTCAGGATCAAAATGGGCGAAAAAACTTCATGTCATGCATTTGACCTGGTCAACGAAGATAAAGCCTTTGAAGGCTGTGACGTGTCGACGTTATGACGTATCAACCTGACCCCAAAAGGTCAAGGTCATGTGAAGAAGGCAAATTGTTGTTGAGGTCCAGGTGGCTTAATAGAAGACGAGGACGAGGACGAGGACGAGGACGAGCATCCATCCTCGGCGCGCAATAACGGCAGTGAATATTACTTTTCGTCGTACTATTTAGGGTTTTGTGGCCCATGTACTCAGATAAATAGGAAGAGATATAGTTCTAAAAAGACATCGAACATTTTTGTAAAGAACATCATTGACATTCTCCGTGAAGATTCTCTCTCTTTATTGAATACATACAAAGTCTAGCTTTTCACTTCTTTTATCCTTCTCTCCCGATCCAAGAAGAATTGAAATATTCAACTCCCTACCCTAATTGATGATATAAAATAAAAGAAGAAATTATAGAATAATGTGAATCACCCTGTATTGATAACAATAAATACACTGTTTTCTCAACTAGAGGTGTCACCAATTAGTCAAAATGAGTGAAAATTAAGTGAGATTATGATTCATAATTCAATGAAGACAAAGAATGTTGGAGTGATTTTTTCCTCATTTGCTTAATTTATAGTGGCAAATTAAAGTTATTTGATAAGTGTATTGATGGGGAGATTGCAAATATTCGTGCAAACTAGCTCGAATCTAAAAAGGTAAGTAATAAAATTTAGTATCTTGGTACATATTATACCAAGATATGTCAGCGGCATTGCAAAAGAATGATGAAAATTCTCATTGGCAATAAAATGTCAGCTTTGGACCAATTGTCTCATTGATTTATTCCTTAAAGACATTTTTAGCACCCCTTTTAATTCTTTAACGTGGGGTTTTCATGTGGTCCAACACGATTTTCCCTAAAAACGCCAGTGATGCCTTTCTTTCTTTTTTTTTTTTGATTGACTAATTTGTTTTATAAGCCCCCCAACATAGAAAGAAAAATGCATGTTGGAGTAGAAAAAGAAAAGACTTGATGTTGAGAGGAGATTTGTAACGGTAATTACTTAGAGAAAGAGTTTGTCAAACAGACAAACACGTACAATATTATAAGGAACTAGGTGCCACAAACACATATTTTTGATGTTGCTTTCAACTTTCCTGTATTGTACACAGGCGGATCCAGAATTTAGAGCTTATGAGTGTCATTCTTTATGTTAACGGTATATCTACCTCTAGCCACAAAGACTGAATAAAAAAGGTGGATCGATTCGATAAGGTTTTTATTACTCCGATTAGGTTGATTAAGCTTTTTATACACATACATAAACAAATAAGTTCGATTTTGTCTAGTTACTTTATTTTCAAGCTTAAATTTAAATTATATCATGAAAGAAAAGTGCACAAAAAGAAATTAAAGCACCTCCAATTATAAAATTTGCTTAAAAATAGCTTAACTACTACGAATGTTTGTTTAACTAGATTAATTTACCTTTCGTATTTTTGAGTTTATTTTTTTAATCTTAAATTCCAAGTTTGTATAGCAAGTCTTTGCAAAGCAAAAGCTTCAAATTTTCAATCTATGAGAATCAACTCAAAAATCTCTACAACTCAAGCCATTTAATTTTCTAAAAGAACAGAGTCATATTGCTTATTTATACTCCAATATACATAAAATATTGTCGCGTCATCTTAAAAAAAGAAATACTATATATAACCTAAAATCAATTAAAATGACTTATTGAAACAAATTGCTTCCGAAGTATATATGTAGAGAAGAAAAGGAAGGTTACTGCAAAAAAAATATAAAAAAGAAAAGAAGAAGCAGAAAAAGAAAAAAAAAAAAACAATAGAGACGGAGATATAGCAGTGGCACCCGACTCTCTTTTTTGTATTGCTGGTGGCACTTACTTTAAATATATATTTTGTACTAGACACATAGATATCTTTTCAAAATTTTAGCCGAAGCGTGTGGGTATCGTACTACTTCTACCTCTCAAGGTGGATCCGCCCCTGATTGTACTATGGAATTTCATCAATACCAATAATTGAAGGAGATAGGTAATGCCATTTCTCTGTAATACATAAGTAATAATTTAACAATTTAATAAATATTTAACATACTTTGACGAAATAATCCAAGGAAATGGGGAGATCGACAATATTGTCACACGTTGTTTTGGAGCAGGGTGAATAAAATGGAGACTCACATTCGATGTCCTATGTGATAAGAAGGTGTCACCAAGATAAAGGAAATTTTTATAGAATAATTGTTAGACCAATATGTTGTATGGGGCAGAGTGTTGGTCAGTTAAGAACTCACACATTCAAGAGATGAAAGTAGCGGAAATGAGGATGCTTAGATGGGTATTCGCGGAGGAGAAGCCCCGATGCCCCGGTGAGGAGTTGTGAGCGGCTGGCGGTGGTTGGCGCGAGTCGAGGCAGAGGGAGGCCCAAGAGGTATTGGGGAGAGGTGATTAGGCAGGACATGGCTAGAATGCGGATTTCCGAGGACATAGCCCTGGATAGGAAAGTCTGGAGGTCTAGTATCAGGATTGCAGGATAGGGGCGTCTAGAATTTTTCTTACTTCTGGTCCCGGGGTCGGGGGGGGGGGTTAGGGGGGTGGAGTTGGTAGGGCTCCCTATAGATGATCTGTGTATTGTATTGTGCCCCCTTATGGTAGTTACTGGTCGATATATTTGCATGCCATTTTATTTATGGTTTATGTTTAGATAATTATTTATGTGATTTCTGCTGGAGTCACTAATGCTCTTTTGCTTTTTGTTTTTTGTTTTTGTTTTCCTTTTCCTTTTCCTGAGCCAAAGGTCGATCGGAAACAACCTCTATGCCTTTTCGGGTAGGGGTAAGGCCTGTGTACGTATTACCCTCCCCAGACCCCACCTTGTGGGACTATACTGGGTAGTTGTTGTTGTTGTTGTTGTTGTAGATGGGTGTTCGCGCATACTACTGTTATCTCTTTTACTTTGGTCATCTTTATTATTTTTGTTGTTAATACTTTTTTTCTTAAGTATTTTTGTCTTAGATCTTTTTACTCCTGTATTTTTCAAACTGTTTTAAAAGGTCTATTAGAAATAACTTCTCTACCTCACACATGGTAGGGGTAAGACTTGCATGCATTCCACCTTCCGCAAACTCCAATTGTGGATTACGTTGGGTATTTTATTGTATACTTTGACAAAAATAAAAAATGTTATTATTGATAAACTTAAAGGACTGAAATTGCTTAAGAATATAGTTAAAGGACTACTTTAAACCTACTCTAAGAATAAGGAACCATTTTTGTCTTTTTCTCGGCATCTGGTCTATGGATTTCAAACAAGCCCAAATCTTTTCTAGTCCAGTCCCTTTACATGTTCGGTTGACATCAAATTGAAGGTTTCCAAATTCAGACCCAAACACCGCCAATTTTTTCAATATATGACGGCGGAGTTCATTTTGTCAAAAGTGGATTGAACGACGACCAGACGACCAGTCAACTTTCTCCCAACATTGCGATCTGCCAATTCCCAGTCTAGGTTCATCTCTTTCTTTCTATAGATCTTTTGATCTTTTTGTATTTTGTGGCTTAATAGGCATTCTAGGAAAATCCAGGATTTAAAGTCAATTGGTTCAAAATAAGTGTAATATATTATTATTATACATGTGTTGAGCTGATATTAATGGGCACAGTTGAACCTTCTGAATTGTTCCAGATCCACCACTGTTCTCAGTTTGTAATAGCTGGAATATTCATATTCTTAGGTGTGTTTGATATGAACAAAAATGTTCTTTTTTGGTGGAAAATATTTTTCATTGAGAAATCTAGATCATTTTCCAATGGTTTTGTTAGGACTTAAGTCCATAGCAGTCAAAAGCAAAAAGTGCAAAAAAGCGCCAAAGGCTATTGGATCTTTAAGCGCAACATTCGATTAAAGCGTGGGCTTTAGCGAAGAAAAGCGCCACTGAAGAAAAATTAAAAAATAGAGATGTAATGCAAGAAAATGAATCGGTGAAGGTGCATACGCCTTAGTACCTTGATGCCTATACCAAAGCCTAATTAAGCCAGGCGAAGCGCACAACCTAAGGTTCACCTATTTCAAGGCTTAAGAGCTCTTTCAGCGAGCTTTTAACAACACTGATTAGGTCTGAAAGTAATTGTACGAGTTGAATGCTAGAGTTTAAGAATATTGTTTTATTGATATTTCTGATAGTTGACGATAATGTCTAAGTGTTGGCCAAAAACAAGTGGTATGAAGTAACCATTGACTTCCTCACTTGGTGGGTAACAATATTTTCGCGTTGAAAATGATTTCATTGAGAATCTCTGCATACCTGGCACATCCTTTTTATGCTCATCAAATTTAATCGGTCTTTTTTCTGTTTTGGTTTGCTTATATTATCTGACAACTGTATGTTGCGTTTTTCAGGATAATCGGTTTAGACTACAACAACTGAACTGAGATTTGATCATACTGGGGAAAATGTACTCTTCATTCTTTATGGATTATATTTTAGTTAGATCTTGGTGTTACTAAAGGTCAAATTCAGTTGCTAATGTTTGTTTCATGGACAAGATTAAGAAAGGAAATTCTGTTGGAATATGGTGTTTTTAGTATAAGTAGCCTGCTGTTGACTTAATGTGCTGTTCAGAACTCAAATACCGAAATGTGTGTTTACTAGGAAGGTAGATTATATTCTCTTAGCAAGTTTCACCTGTAAAATACTGCAGTCCTTAAAAGGACGACTTGGTCAAGGCGGATCATTATTTCTTTGCTGAAGCCCCCTAAGTTTGAATTCAAATTTATTTGCCCACCATCAAGCTTTATAACTTATTGGTTCCGGTGGGAGTTTCCAACACAGTAGGTGCTGGTTCAATATTCACTGTTTCCTTTCCGCTACCCCGTTCCCCCATTCTCCTAGTATTAGAAAAACTTCCAAAAAAGAAGTTAATTGCCTTGACCTACCTTTATATCTGGAAATTTGAAGGAGTAACTTTTTGTATAAAATTCTCTCTAGCTCGAAGAATTTAATTATATTCTCCCTATAAAAATAGTTAAAGAAATCCTTGAAAAGGTAAGGAAAATGGGGTCTAATTGTTTGACCTACTCTTTTTAGAAGAAGTTGAACCTATTTGAGTTTTGCTTGTGCAATTAGTATTTTTAGTGATGTTATTTAAGTGCTTCTGACATTTTTTTCATTGGTGTGCAGGGGGGCACGTGTACAATGGGATGAGGCAAATTTGGGAGAAATTGAGGCAAATAAACCAGTGAGGCAGAAAATAACTGAACCAAAGACACCATATCACCGCATGACCGATGATGATGATGGTATGTTCATGCAATTTCTCTTAGTTTTCTCATGCCTAGTCTTCATAATAGAACTTTCTTGCTATGAATCAACATAGCAAATATGATGGTGATGTGTTGCAAATTCTAATTTTTACATGACAATGAAATAGATGAAATGTAGTTAATTTATAGTTACTAACCTTTCTTACTTGCCCTCAATAATTAGCTTCTACTGAGGGATGGTCTGGAAGTAGTATTACTGACATCGCATGAGCTTCTTTGCTTGGTGGCTTACCCCTTCTGAATGAGTCTGAGTCATGTTGATGATCTGGAATTTTACTTGGTTGTGGATTTGATTTTTGTAGATAGTCTGATTGGAGGTAGTTTATAAGTATTTCTTTAACTCCAAATGCTGAAGTTGATTTGTTTTTCTTTTCAATATTTCTATTGCATAAGAAGCTTCTCAGTTGATGCTTATAGGCACCTGGAACCTCTTGGATTTTCTTTATAGTACGAGGCATTAAATGCTTGATGATATATTAGGTTATTGGTCTACAACATTATATTATGTAAACTGAGATCTTCAAAATTTCAAAAAGGTAAGTGTTCGACTTAAGCAGTTGTCTTCTAGGAAGTGTTTTTACCTTTGAATTCTCAAATTACATTGATGACACTTGATTTAAGGAAAAATTTGATAAGCACGTGGCCTTATATATATATATATATATATATATATATATATATATATATATATATATATATATATATATAGTGGTCTTGACCACATGTTAGTGCTGAGATATATTAGGTTATAGGCTTTTACTCAGCCCTCTAGATGTGATCTTTAAGCCCAATCCACATTATGCCTTGCTTTTCTCCTCATGTTATTAACTGAATTCGGTATTATATGGGACATTATGTGCCTTTTTTTTTCTCTCTACTCATATGGATTTTCTTTTAAATGATATCATAAAGAGTATGTAAGCTTGAGGTTCTTACTTGTATCTAATTTATTTCACGTACAAATAAATTATTGTAAGTTTTTGCTATTTTCTCAAATCAGTTTGGCATTCTTTGCTATTGGTTTGATTTGAAACTTGGTATTTATTGTCAAATAGGGTTATATTATAGTGTGTATAATTTTAAGGTTAAATGTAAAAATCATGTTAATATAACAGGACTAGAACTATAATTATTGCTCTTATTGCTTTTCCAGTTTTATTCTGACTACAATGATACTGTAGGATCTCTGTCTTCTCTGTGGGATAGTTTTGAGGAGGCCAATGGTGATGCAATACACTCAGAAGTCATATCCAGTGAATTGGATGACATGGCTTCTTCCAGTGGAAATAAATCCAGGCAGTCTGGCTGGACATCTTCGGAGGATGAGGCTGATATTATGGACCAAGATGACGAAGGTCTAATTTTATCTGTCCTTTATGTCTCTTGTGGTTCATATTTCTTATTCTCACTATACAGAACTTCCTAGTAGATACTATTCCACAACTATAGCATGTTCATGTAAAAATAAAATCGTCAAAGCCATCTTTTTTGACACTCTTTTTGTGTGTTTTCTCATTGCCCGTGGGCTTCAGTGGTAAAACATTATGCTATAATATTTTGTAATCAGTTTCTGTTGCTATCAAGCCTAGTTTTTTTTGGTGATCAACTGCTTGCACTTTCAGTTCTTTTGGATCAGTGACTTCTGCTATTTTTTTCTGTTAGTTTATTTGGATAAGTGGGGCTGGGTCAGGTTGCATCAATGACTTCAATTATGCTAGATGTCTTGTACACTGTACTCACAACCAACTATTACCTGGTCTTTATTTTTTCTCTACAAACAGATTCTGGTTCAGAAAGGAGCAAGAGCTTTAGGGAGCACAGGCGAGCACACTATGACGAATATAGAAAAATCAAAGAACTGCATCGAACGGGCTCCTCTCTTGAAGAAGCATCTGATGATGAGATTGGGAATCTTGAGGAAAGGGATGGGAGATGTAATACATCACCGTCATTGATGGCTGCTGTTAAGGGCATTGACATTGCGGAAGGAAGCACAGACGCTTCCAAATAGTCCTCTGTCCCAGCCAATTGAATATGGATCGCCCCGAAAAAGTACATTATTAATATCATCGTATTTCCAAGAAGGTTGTTATTACAACCCAGTGTTTTGGTTTTGATATGTTCACTTTTGCTTGTAAGTTGTATATAGGTGGTTTCAAGTTCACGCATGGGATGAACATCTTCCATTTGGTGGCTGCCATAACTTTCCGCTGGAAAATATTGTGAAATCACAAACTAAGATTTTCGACTGTGATACTGTTGTTTCATAGTTGTCATTGTTGACATTTTTGATTGCTGAATCTGCTCTCAGTTATCTGGGAATCAGAGTCATGAGAGTAGTAAGTTTGTGACAGCTTTGGGCCTTTTCTTTTCTACTTGTGCTGAGTTTCCTGAAATTAGACAAGGTTGTATAATTTGTAAACCATATAATTGTTGTTGAAACAGAATACTTCGAAGCCACAAGCAGAGTGCTTGAATGCATACTAGCGTGTATACTTTTGTAAACTATAGAATTGTTGAAATACGACATATCGGAGCCATTTTCCATGCTTAACGAGCTTGTAGATTAATGCTCCTCGTTGTTACATTATCGGTACATAGCATGTGTAATGTTTGGCTAGCTTTGTGGAAGTTGATTCATTGCTTAGTTGATACTATAGTTTAAGGTTTTCACAAAACATGCCATAATATTTATGTGGCTATAAGACCTTTGAAACTTATGGTTTAAACAATTTGTAACATTTGTGTGGTTATAAAACTTATATTAAGGGTTAAACGAGAAGTTTAAGTAAAATATTTTCAGATTTAGAAAGTTGTTATTCTTTTTGGGCGAAATACATAAATGGCCTCTTTAAGTTGTTCACAACGATCAAAAAGCCACCTCAATTTACCCATTTACTATTTAGATAAGTAATTATTCAGTGTATAAAGTAAACACTCGAGTGCAGAAGACCATGTGCGTGAGCTACACTTACCAATGACGTGTTAAATGAGCCAATTAAAGAACGACAAGTGTAAATTGTAATAAAAAATTGACACATAATTAACAAAAAAGAAAATAATCTAAAGAAGAAAAAGAAACCCTTGTCCTTTACTTTTATCAAAACCAGCACTACGTCTCCCCCCCCCTCCCCCTTTCCCCTCCCTTTCATCCCATTTGTGTCCCCCATCCCCTTTTCTTAAATCCACCCAACAAATTAATAAAGGCAAAATACCTTACCACCCCTCTAAACTTGTCAAGGATTATTAGTTACAGCCTCAAACTATTCGTGGTCTTAATTACCTCCCTCAACTAGGTTTGTTGAGAGCCATTGCACCCCTGGACGCTGATGTGGCAAATTGTGTGGGTGCACTCGTCTGCCACGTGAATTTTTCTGTATATATGGTATTTTTTTGAAAAAGAAATTATATTTTTACCTTTTTAAGTATGTTACTTTTTTAGATAATTTTTTTCGAATACAATTTATAATAAAACTTGGATAGAACTACATTATTTAGGCTAAATTTTTTTATTTGGCTAAAAAAAATAAAGTTTTAGTTAATCTTTTTTGGAATTTGACCTGAAAATAAAGATTTATACAATTGAAATAAATAGTCAAGGCATCTAAGCAGTTATAAAAATACATAGTTTGAAATTAACTATTTTGGCTATAATTTTTATATAGCTCTAAATTATGAATATATATATATATATATATATATATATATATATATATATATATATATANAGTGTAGCATCAGCACAACCGACCCCATGTGCTGGTAAGTGCCTAGCCTAACCCCGGCGAAGTAGTGACGAGGCTAGACCAGACTACCAGATAAACATATATATATATATATATATATATATATATATATATATATATATATACCACAACGAGGTCCGGGGAAGGACCGGACCACAAGGGTTTATCGTATGCAGCCTTACCTTGCATTTCTGCAATAAGTAATTTTAGAGCAATAAGAATGTTAGAAATAATAAGTTGTTTCTTGTAATTGTTTACTCTTTTTATTTCTTCTTTTGATGCAATGACTATTTATTTTAATTGTGTATTTTTACCTTTTCAGGTAAAATATGTAAAAAGTATATTTTTAAAGCACCATAATTTAGAGCTATATAAAAAATTATAGCCAAAATAATTAATTTCAAACTATGTATTTTTATAATTGTTTAGATGAATTGACTATTTATTTGAATTGTATAAATCTTTATTTTCAGGTCAAATTCAAAAAAAGATTAACTAAAACTTTATTATTTTTAGCCAAATAAAAAAATTAGCCTAAATAATGTAGTTTTATCCAAGTTTTATTATAAATTGCATTCGAAAAAAATTATATAAAAATGTAACATACTTAGAAAGGTAAAAATATATTTTATTTTTAAAAAAATGCCATATATACAGAAAAATCTACGTGGCAGGCGAGTGCACCCATACAATTTGTCACATCAGCGTCTAGGGGGGTAATGGCTCTCAAAAGGCCTTGTTGAGGGGGGTAATAAAGACCACGAATAGTTTAAGGCTGTAACTAATAATTCGTGACAAGTTTAGGAGGGTGATAAGGTATTTTTCCATTAATAAAACTCATACAAATATGAAACAACATAGAATAGCCAATAGAGAACCCACACGGATCATTAATGGACCTCGCCGGAAAAGCTCATTATGCGACCTCTATCGCTGAAAATTTGTTCTCCAAGCAAAGCTAAAAAAAAGATTCTACTGGAATCTTCTCTCCATTATTTCCTTGATTATGAATTTGGACTTACATTACTTTTTTCTTTAATTTGTTGTTTTTGGTGTAAAATTTTCCTTAAAATTTTCTACGGTGAAGATGAAATAGGGTGGAGGAATTGTGTCACAACCCATTTTTTGAACAAGCCGTGACCGGCACCCGATCACTAAACATGACCGAGCGAACCATCTGCACTTATCAAATCTATTATAACTTCGAACTTTATATGCAACAAGGCAATAGTTTAATCAAATACTTTTAATTAATGTAAATATCTAAACAAACCAACTCCAAACCTTTATTCGTAGTAACCACTGAAATACCGCTAAGTTATTATCAAAAACATCTGAATCTAATCCAACGACTATGACTATGGCCATACTGATAAACTGATGCACTGCTCAGGACATGAGATTTCCTGGCCAGTTCTCTAAGTAAACAAAGAAATAGGTAAATAATGACGACTCAAAGGAGTACTCCACGAACAAAAGCGGAGCTCACCAATAGCACTGGAAGTGTAATGACCCGACATGTCATTTTGAGTATCTGCACTTCGCTCGGTATTTTGAGGGATCGAGTATCTCCGCATGATGTATTATGACTTGCGTAAATCGTCGTCGTTGGTTTTCAAGTTATCCGGAATATATTTGGAAGAATGAACTCAAGATTTAAGTTTTAAGTTGAAAGAATTGACCAGGTTTGACTTTTTAGCATTTGACCTCGGAATGCAGTTTCGTCAGTTCCGTTAGCTCTGTTGGGTGAATTTGGACTTAGGAGCGCGTCTGGATTGTAATTTGGAGGTCTGTAGTTGAATTGGTCTTGAAATGGCGAAAGTTGGATTTTTAAGAAGTTTGACCGGGAGTGGACTTTTTGATATCGGGGTCGGGTTCCAATTTCGAAAGTTGGAATATGTCCGTAATGATAAATGTGACTTTTGTGCAAAATTTAAGGTCAATCGGATATGTTTTGATAGGTTTCGGTATCGGTTGTAGAAGTTGAAGTTTCAAAGTTCATTGATTTTGACTTGAGGTGTGATTCGTCGTTTCGAGGTTATGATGCGTGATTTGAAGCTTGGAGTAAGTTCATTTTGTCATATAGAACCTGTCTGCAAAATTTGGCGCCATTCAGAGTTGATTTGATATGGTTCGGACGCTCAGCTGCGATTCTAGAAGTTCTTGAAGTTTAGTTTGATTTTCATGCGTTTAGGCATCCGATTCATGGTTTTAGAAGTTATTTTGATGATTTGAACGCGCAAGCGAGTTCGTGTTGAATTTTATACTTGTGTGCATATTTTGTTTGGAGCCCTCAGGGCTCGGGTGAGTTTTGGAATGTTTTTTCTTAATTGTTGATTGCTGGTTCTGGTTTCTTCGCATTTGCGATGTTCTGGTCGCAAATGCGGCCATCGCATTTGCGAAGCTTGGACGGCTGGGAAATTTTCGCATTTGCGATGAGGCTGCTGCATTTGCGAAAGACGGGCTTCGCATTGGCGAACTTTTGGTCGCAAATGCGACCTTAACAGGGAAGTCTCCAGGTTCGCAATTGCGATGAGTTTTTCGCATTTGCAGGGTTCGCAAATAGTGTTGAGAATTTCGAGTTTTTGCTTCATTTTCATATTTTTGAACCCTAGCTTCGAGGTAAGGCGATTTTTGAGAGGGGATTTTCATACGAAAACATGGGGTATGTATTTTTAATCAATTTCCAACTATATTTCATGATTTTATACAAGATTTAACATCAAATTCTGGAAAAAATTGGGAATTTTGTCAAAGTTTTGAAAAATAAAAATTTGAGATTTGAGAGTCGAAAAGGACTTGGATTTGAACAAAACACATATTTGGACTCGTGAGACTATGGGTAGTCAAGACCTACCCTTGGACCTGAGTTTTGACTGGGCGGGCCCGGGTTTTGACTTTTGTTGATTTTTTAGAAATTGGATAAAAATTATAGCTTTATTAATTGTAATTGTTTCCCTTGCATTATGTGATGCATTCTAGTCGTCATTGGCTAGATTGAGTCGAGCGGAGGCGAATTTGTAGAGGGCAAGTCTAAGTTGAGTGATGAGTTAGCCGAATCGAGGTAAGTGTTTTGCCTAACTTTGTTGAGGGAATTTTTCCTCCTATTTGTCATTGTTTTCTACATGCGGGGTGATACATATATGAGGTGACGAGCGTATATGTATCTGCCGGGGTTAGTCATGCTCGGGGGTAGATGTGCTATAATTGTGTCTTGTAGAAGTACGTAACTTCCTTGCTTCATGCCTCACTTGATTTACCGATATTAAGAACGTGGTATAAAATGTTAGTAATCAAGACTTAGCCTAATATAACTTGATCAAATTTGATACGTTTCTGAGAATACATTGATGTGTCTAGTTTGGTCATCTCTATGCGTAATCACTACTACATTGCTACGGTCGATATTTTGAGATGCTGGATTCTATACTTGTGTTGCTGATAAATTGTGAGCTTTGTGGAAGTACTTGAATTGTACGACCCTTGAGAGCTTATTGAATCATTGTTGGCTTGAAAATTCCGTGATTGACAATTTGTTGGAATATTCGTTTGAACACTCTCCTCGATGTTATTTATACTTCCTGCCTTGTCATTTTATTGATATCATATGCTTGGTAAGGAAGAGTGTAAAGCACGAAGGGTGATGCCGTGCCATTTCATATACATTATCATGTGAGGAAGAGTGTAAAGCATGAAAGGTGATGCCGTGCCATTTTATATACATTATCATATGAGGAGGAGTGTAAAACACAAATGGTGATGTCGTGCCATTTCATTTATATTGTTATGCTTTTAATATTGTGAGGTC